ACTGTGGTGCTCTCCAAAGCTATTCCCAGCGATGCCGAGCTGCTCCGGGCTCCTGCTGCAGGGGCTCTCTGGCAGGATAAGGCAAACGTGGGCCTTCTCTTTCAGCTGCCTTCCTAACGCAGACAGTCTGTCTGGATGACACAACGGTGAAGTTCGAAATATGGGATACGGCAGGCCAAGAGCGGTATCACAGCCTGGCACCCATGTACTACCGGGGTGCCCAGGCAGCCATTGTCGTCTACGACATCACGAACACAGTGAGTGCAGCGGGGGGCTGGGGGTCTTTGGGGGGAGGAGGGCTGTGCGCTTGCAGCTGATGCTGTCGGTTCCCTGGGCGGGCGGCTGGGTTCAGAGTCCCTGCCTGCGGGGACGGAGCTCCTTGAAAACTGGCAATGGCCTCTTCCTCGGCTCTGACCAAGGCCGTCTAAGCTGATAAAGGATCCTGCTACGCTTCTTACAGGAAAGACTTGTTCTAATCATATCTTCAATGTGGATTAATAAGAGGCTGCCCTTCCTGACTACTGCCTCCTGTTTGCTTCCAGGATACGTTTGTACGAGCCAAGAACTGGGTGAAAGAGTTGCAGAGGCAGGCTAGCCCCAACATTGTAATTGCACTAGCAGGAAACAAGGCAGACCTTGCTACCAAGAGAGCTGTGGACTTCCAGGTGAGTGGGAATCCAGATCGGTTGTTACCTGAGCAAGTCAGGAAAGCAGCTTTTTGCTTAGGTGGGGGAGGCGGTGTCTCTGTGCACAGTGATTTGATGGAGAGTGGAAGTCAAGATTTGTGCTGCTGAGGACCCCAGGGTGCCACTCAAAGTGAATTGTAACCTGCCTTTCCCAGGCACTCCTTCCACAGCACTTGTAGCCTCTTGTTGGTAACAGTGGTGATGAATGTGGAGAGCAAGGCCCACAAAGCACAAGCTTCAGTCTTCAGCCTCTTTTGGTGCCATGCTCAGCTGGGGCTGTCTTCAGCAGCTTATGAAATGGCATCTGTTAGATACAAGACGTGTGAAGAATCATTCCCAGCTTGTTCTCTACTCTTCACAGCTCTTACCTTGCCTAAGGCAGTCTTTCAAGGAGAAGCTCTTATCTCAGACCTCTGCACGGGATTGCTTGTGGTGCACTTACAGGGTGTATTGCCCTCCCAGCTAACCAAAGTACAAGGTGGTGTGCTGCTCGGGACATGCTGTGTCTACATTTGGCTCGCAAACAGTCTGTGCTGCCGTACCCAGCTCGGCTGCTCGGACGCCAGCCGTGCAGCATTCAGTGGTGCATGTCTCCCAGCTGTCCTGGCCAGGCAGGGTCAGGGGACTGGGGTGGGAGTGTCTGGCCTGGGGTGGGACGGGGCCTTTCTTCAGCGTTCAGTTTGCCAACAAGTGAAGCATGCGAAGCCTGCTTGGGCCTCCTCTTGGCAGGATGCCTTTACCACTCTGATGTGATTGTTTGTAGGATGCACAAACATATGCAGATGACAACAGCTTGCTGTTCATGGAGACGTCGGCAAAGACAGCGATGAATGTGAATGAAATCTTCATGGCAATAGGTAACAGCTTGTGTGCAGAGGATGGCTGGAGTAGCCACGGGCACCAGCAGTGCAGCCCACGGGGAAACCGTGGGAGCTCCTGGGGCGGGCAGGCTCCGGAGGCTCTTCCTGGGGTAGAGGACCAGTTTGCTGTGCTGCGAGCGGTCACTCCCCGAGCGCTGGGAGCCTTCGCCTCGCAAAGCCTCTTCCCTCTCTCCCTTTACCTGGGGCGGGGAGTAAGGGGGGGGGGGCAGGGTGAGTGAGAGCCAGGACCGGGAGTGGGTCGGTTGGCTGTACTCGTGCTGCAGCAGCCTCCGATCCCAAACTCCTCAAGAGGTGCAGGCTTGGGCCGGGGCGGCGCTGAGCCAGCCCGGGGGCCGCAGCGGGCAGCAGCTTGGCCGCGGTGGAGGAGCCCACTAACGTCTGGTCTCTTTCTAGCCAAGAAACTGCCAAAAACCGAACCCCAGAACGCTCCTGGTGGGCCGGGTAGGAATCGGGTGGTTGACCTCCAGGAGAGCAGTCAGCCTAGCAGGAGCCAGTGCTGCAGCAACTGAGCAGCCGACCCCGCCTGACGGAGCCCTCGGATGACGTGACTGGAATCCACGCTAACAATCGCACTTACCGTAGAGCGGCTGCCGCCGGTGGCTGCTGTGATTTCTCCATCCCTTTCTGATCATAGGCTGGAGGGAGTTCTTCCACCTGCACCTTTCTGTACAAATACTAATTCAATTCTGAGTCTTAAGTCACTTTTTTAATATATGAACTTCTGCTCTTCCCTCTTCCTGGTGGTGGTGGATGCATGACCTGGTGTCTGCCCAGCCAGCTCATCCCTTCCCGCGGGTGAGGGCCAGCAGCACCCAGGTCCCACAGTACTGTAGTTCACTGTTGGAAACAAAGGGATATTGAGACTAGACGACTTTGTTTAAAATTACCCATATGTAAAAGCTAAGGCTAATACCAGTACGAGATGCCTAGAACAACCACTAAACTGTAGCATTATAGTGACAAACTCTGGCTTTTCGGCCACTTATTGACCAAATCAATTATGAGTATTCTGGGGTGGGGCAGAGGGAAGCAAAACTGGTTTCTTCTGTATTTTGTATTGTATGTTTCTTCATGTAACCAATCAGTATCTTGTCAATATAGTACATACAACTAGCTGCCTGTTGTCTTTATTTGTGTTGGACTCTAGCATGCCAACTTTTTTTTTTTTCTATCTCTGGTTCTGTCGTAATGCACTAATCCTGTTGCAACTTTTGCAAAAATCTTGTATAGAAAATTGTCCTTTTTTTGATGGTTGTGATGCCACTAATGTTGTTAACCCTACTCTAGTGTGAATACACATGGTTTACTGATGTACAGAGGTGGGGTGGGGGAAACCTCGGATAACTTGTCAGTGGAAACAATATGTATTGCAAAAGCCTGTAATTCCACAAAGTATGAAGGGAGGTATTAAAATGGCTTCTGTTGCCAGACTCTAACTGATGTTGGCTGCTGCCTAGTGCCTAATGCAATGTCTTATGCATACTGGTATTTAAGAGGAACTGTCAACTTAGTCTTCATCACAAACTTCAGTTTTGTGTGATTAAAAAAAAAAATTTTTATAAACCTACCATAATCAACAATGTTCATGTTTCTTAATCAGCTCAAACGAGGAGAGCGGACCAGAATGTAACGGTCGTGCTGGAGGCCGAGGTGTGCTCGGCTGCTTGGGGTGCGTTCAGCACCCGGCTCTTCTGTAGGGCTGGATGTGTGCCCGTCCCTCCCGGGGTGAGGAGGAGCAGGGGCCGCTGGCCCAGCTCCCGCCGAGGCCGGGCACCTCGCAGCCACCCTGCAGGGGCTGGGCAGGCGAAGGGTGGGAATTATTCCTTGCCTAATTGTTCTAGGGAAGCTTCTCTACGGTGCAAGTGGGGGAGAGGTGGGGGGAGCAGTGTGCAGAGGAGCTCGGCTTGGCAACTGGACGGGCTTGGGAATCCTGTGGGCAAGCAGTAAGGAAGGGAAGGGCTCTGTCTCTGGAGGACGATGGCCTCTCCTGTCACTGCTGCGTGGACTGAGACCCGGAGTCGGGGCGGAGATGGGCCTTCCCGTGCAGCTCCGCGCGGCTGGGCCGGCACCCTGCATGCCTGGGAGAGTTGAAGATTGGGCCGTGCTGGTGCCTGAGCCGCTGCCCCCTCGGCTGCGCGGCGGCTGCCGGAGCTCACGCACGCGGCTCCGCTCGACGGGGGGACCAGCCCTGCGCGCGCCTCGCAGCGCCGGGGCTCGGAAAGCCCTGCTGGGCACCTGCGAATAAAGTGTCCTGTGTGAACAGCCTTGGCTCATGGGGGCTTCATCCTCTAACCAGGGTCTTGGTGCCTCTTGCCCCTGTTGGATTTCCTTAAAATCCTGGAAGCAGGGAGGGTCTGGACCACGTTGGTGAGCGAGTTCCTGACACCTGCCTGGAGCAGAGGCTGCCTGGGGGCTCCAGCCGCCTCCAAGGGGCTTCGCTCGCCTTGTGCTGGGGCGCTGCTTGTTTCCATCCCCTGCGAGGGAACCCGGGACAGCGGAGGTCTCTGTGCTTTGGACTGGTGCTGCTGGTTTCCCCAGGCAGGAAGAGATGGACCTGCTGGAGAAGGGCTTCCCCAGTCCCAACTCTGAACAATCTTGTGAACACCGTGTGAGGTGCTGTTGCCATCTGCTGGCTTCTTTTACTTGGTTCCTGGTTGACGGGGCTTCCCGAGTCCTGCAAGGAGCCAGAAATGATCTCACGGCTGGGAAGGAGCCTGTGCTGCCCTCAGGGGTGTCTTGCTGCTGCCTCAGCTGTAAGGGACTCGCTGTCAGGGCTGGCTGCGGAGCTGTGCAGCAGCGCTGAGCAGAGCCTCCTCGCTGCCACAGGGAAGGGCTGCCCGAGCTCGGAACAGCTTTAGCACAAACAGGCGTGCCTGCCCACATACCTGCTGCCTGCCCGGGCCTGAGCAGAGCTGTTTATGGTGGTTATGTGCAGTCCCTGGGGCTGGGGTTCACCCTCCTGGCTGTTGGGATCTTGGGGGGCTCCAGCAGCCCCTTTCCAAGCTGGGGAGGGGGGAAAGTTTGGCTACAATGGAGGCAACCTCCACCCAGCCAGACTGTCCAGCATGGTTGTCTTCCTGTTCAGTGGCATCACCCAGGCAGCAAGGGGCTGTGGAGCTGGGGCAGATGCTGACAGTAGCATGAGGAGGGGGTGAAGGCAGCCTGCTTGCTCCCTGGGAGAGCTGCCTCTGCTCAGGTACAGGTGAGGGGGGCTGCCCCTCCCTGCCCGGGAGCTTCCTGCTTCCCCCCACCCTGAGCAGCACCCTGGGGACCTTCCCTCCCTCTGGGTCCACTGTCAGCCCCATTTTGTGCTGCCCTGAGGCACCAAGAGAGGTTCTTCCCTCTCTGTGCATCCAGCTCGTCTGCCGTCAAGAGCTGAGACCAGGGCACAGCCTCCCCATCAGTCAACACCAAGAGAGCACAAGCAGGTTCTATGCAAAAGTATTTTATTGGATACAAAAACATTCCAGTATAGTGAAAAAAATTATATCATTGATGATGGAGCTTGTCAGGGCTAAAACCCGAGACTTGCTGCTGTCTGCTCCGGTCCTGCCGCAGGCCATTGGTTCCCCTCCCATTACACCTGGGCTTTGTTGGTGGCTCCGTCCTCGGAGGCTGGTCCGGGCTGTGGGGCTGCAGGGCTGACCTGGATGGGCACGTTCCTCTCGGGGGCGGCCGGCAGGGCCAGCCGGGGGGCCTCGATGCGGAGCTGCCCCTCCTTGGACAGGGAGCACGTCAGCGCCTCGGCGTCCACCTCCTCGGGCACGTCCCACTCCCGCTTCAGCACCTCGTACTTGTAGGAGAAGGAGCCCTTCTCATCGACGTTCTGCGTCTCCTTCTGCCCCACCAGCACCACCTTCCTGCCCACCACCTTCACCGACAGCTGCTCGGGAGCAAAGTTCTTGACGTCCTGGCAGACGGAGAAGCCCTCGCCGGAGCCCTGGGTCAGGGCTGGGCTGGTGCTGGTGCTCGGGGCTCTCTCCATGGCGGTGGCTCCTTGGCTGCTCAGGAGCTGCTCGAAGCTGCTCATGAACTCCCGAGCTTTCTCCATCTCCTGCTGCAGCTCGGTGAAGATGGTCTCTGCGTGGGGCCAGAGGGTCCTCACCGTGCCCAGCCGGCTGGCCAGGGAGCTGGAGGCGAATGGTGCGAGGTGCATTCGGCAAAGCATCGCTGCTGCTGGTGCTGCTGGTGCTGCTGGTGCTGCTGGTGCTGCTGGTAGCTGGTGGCTCTCAGGCTGGGAGCGCTCTGTCCCGCTACTGCCACCCGCGGCTTTTATTCCCCTTCCCAGGAGGAGTGGCCTCATCCTGTGCATCACGTCATCCTTGGGAGAAAAGTTTAGCTCTTTCCAGCCTGTTCTAGCTCATTCTTGTTACTCATCCATGAGGAGAGGCACCTCTTACGTCGTGCCCAGCATACCTTCGCCCTTAGTCTTGCGGCTCTGCTCTCCTGGCTTATAATTAGCAGCATCACCTCAGCCTCTGAGCGGGATGCCTGAGCCACTCCTGCCAAAAATCTGTGGCCTTTCTACCTCCCAGGCAGGGAGTGGGGCTGGGCTCTTCTCCTCCCTGCCTTCCACCCCCTCTCCTGTGCCCCGTTCCCCTCCCCATCTGCAGGCAGGAGAGCTCCTCTGTCCCCCACCCAGTTTGCAGGACTCACCTGGGGACCCCCAGGTGGGACCAGAAACCAGCCTGTGGGCCCCTCCCCAGGCGGGGTGCACAGGCGGGGTGCTGGGGGGCTGGCACAGGACGGGTGGGCAGCCCCCGGGGTGGGAGGGGGGCCTAGAAAGTGCGAGAGGCGTCTGGCAGTGGGTGACGTCGGAACACGTTGCTTTAGGGGTGGGTCTGTCCCTGTGCTGGCCAAAGTGAGACGCTCCTGGCACAGCGTAACCTGCGCTCCGCCGAGCCCCGCAGCGCGGGGGCCATGGGAAGGGCTGTGCTGGCCCCCTGGCTGGTGGTCCCGCGGGCCTCGCTGCATCACGGTGCCTCTGCAGAAACCCGAGCTGCCAGCAGTGACTGCAGCTCCCTATTTGTGGCGTGTGACTCGTCCCCAGAAGCAGGCGCTGCTATTTCGGCTGGCAGATAATCAGCCGCTCAAAAATAGGTGATGGCTCTGGGAGGGTGCGTGGGGAGAGAGCGTTCTGGAAGGGGCACGCCCCCAGGCAGGGAAGGATAAAATCCGCCGCTCCCCGGCCCCAGCCCAGCACTCTCCAGCCCCTGCACAGAGCTGAGCCGCAGCACACACCAGGAGCAGAGATGCTTTGCCGCCTGCACTTCATGCCGCCCATGTCCAGCTCGCTGTTCCCGTGGCTGGGACCCGTCCGCACCATCTGGCCACATCCAGGCACCCTCTTCGCCGAGCTGGAGCGAGAGCTGCGCCTGGAGATGGAGAGGGCTCGGGAGTTCATGAGCAGCTTCGAGCAGCTCCTGAGCAGCGGGAGCAGCCCCAGCCGGCTCGGCATCACCGCGGAGCGAGCCCCGAGCACCAGCACCAGCCCAGCCCTGACCCAGGGCTCCGGCGAGGGCTTCTCCGTCTGCCAGGACGTCAAGGACTTTGCTCCCGAGCAGCTGTCGGTGAAGGTGGTGGGCAGGAAGGTGGTGCTGGTGGGGCAGAAGGAGACGCAGAGCACGGACGAGAAGGGCTCCTTCTCCTACAAGTACGAGGTGCTGAAGCGGGAGTGGGACGTGCCCGAGGAGGTGGACGCCGAGGCGCTGACGTGCTCCCTGTCCAAGGAGGGGCAGCTCCGCATCGAGGCCCCCCGGCTGGCCCTGCCGGCCGCCCCCGAGAGGAACGTGCCCATCCAGATGGGCCCGGCGGTGGCACAGCCGGCAGCCAGCACCGACGAGGCAGCCGAGCGGGCCAAGGCGTGACGGGGAGCAGCACCGCGCCGGGCTGAGCCCGGCTGCCAGGGCAGCTGCTGGCCACAGGGCAGGACCCCGCCGGGGACCGCACGGCGGCCTGGTGGCGGGCGCCTCTGCCCAAAACATGTAGCTTTTTTGATATGTAATAAATGTTCCTGACTTTTATTTGTGCAGTTTCTGTGTTTGCTGGTCTCGCCCGGCCCCTGTGCTTTGCGGCACTCCTGGCTGTGCCCACGCAGTGGGCTGGCAGCCCGGGGAGCTGGGCACGTCCCTGGCACCTCTCCCCAGCCCCGCCTTGGCAGAGGAGGTCGTTCGAGGGGCTCCAGCACATGCCCGGCGCTGAGCATCCCTGGGGGGCCCTGAGCATCCCCCCCGGGCAGCCTTTGGGCACCCGACGCCCCATCGGGATGGTGCTGGGACTCTCTCATGCCGTACCCGCCCAGCCACAAGCCGTTCCGAGCGGTGCCAGTACCCCCAGCTCCGAGCTGTGCCAGCATGCCCCGTTCCGAGCCGTTCCAGTGGCCCCCGTTCCAACCCCCCCCCCCCCCCCCCGCCATTGCTGGCACCTTCCAGGCGCTGCTCGCTCCTTCGCCACCCGGCGCGCCGCCAAGCCACGCCCCTCCGCGGCTAAATGGGCGGGGGCATCCATAAATGGGCAGGCAGGGGGCGGTCCCACTCCGTCTGTACCGCAGGAGGCGGGCGCATGCCGGGGATGGGGCGTGGCCACACTCCATATTGGGTGGAGGAGGCGGGGCGAGGCTGCGTGACCACACCCCCCGCGTTCCCCGGGAGGAGGTGGGGAAGGGGAGGGCGGGGCATCGCCCCCATATTTGGCGGGGAAGGCGGGGCCGCGCTCCATATTTGGAGGGGGCCGCGGGACGCTCCGTGCAGCGCCGAGGACCGCCGGGCCGGGCCGGGCCGGGCCGGGCCGGGCGCGGTGCCGGTCACCGATTACCGGGGCGGGGGCTCCTCCGGGCGGCGATGGCCTCTCGCCGCCGGTGGGACCCCGGGAGGGGCTCTCGGGGCGGCTGGCCCCCATCGGGCCCGGATCTCTCCATCCTCCGCGGCCGCCCGGCGCCGCCCGCAGCCCCGGGCGGGAGCTCCGCTCCCGTGAACCGCGCCCGTGAGCCGGCCCCGGCAGGACCGGCCCCCCCGCCGCCCCCCGCCGCAGCGGACTACCGATCCCGGCGTGCCCGGCGCGCAGGCGCAGTGAGCGCGGAGCGCACGCCGGGCCCGGCATGGCGGAGCCGGAGGCCGCGCAGCCCGGGCGGCCCCCGCCGGGCCCGGGGGCGGCGGCGGCGGGGAGCGGCGGGGCCGGGAGCGGGGCGGCGGCGGGAGGAGCGGGGTCCAGCGACCCGGCGCGGCCCGGGCTGAGCCAGCAACAGCGGGCGAGCCAGCGCAAGGCGCAGGTGCGGGGCTTCCCCCGCGGCAAGAAGCTGGAGAAGCTGGGGGTCTTCTCGGCCTGCAAGGTGGGCTGCATCGGCACCGGGCTGCACCGGCCGGGGGTGCGGAGGGGTGCGGGAGGGGGTGCTGGGCCGTGCACGGGCAGGGGGTGCAGGAGGGGGTGCTGGGCCGTGCAGGGGGTGCGGGAGGGGGGTGCTGGGCCGTGCAGGGGGTGCAGGAGGGGTGTGCTGGGCCGTGCACGGGCAGGGGGTGCTGGGCCGTGCAGGGGGTGCAGGAGGGGGTGCTGGGCCGTGCAGGGGGTGCAGGAGGGGGGTGCTGGGCCGTGCACGGGCAGGGGGTGCAGGAGGGGGGTGCTGGGCCGTGCACGGGCAGGGGGTGCAGGAGGGGGGTGCTGGGCCGTGCACGGGCAGGGGGTGCAGGAGGGGGTGCTGGGCCGTGCAGGGGGTGCAGGAGGGGGGTGCTGGGCCGTGCACGGGCAGGGGGTGCAGAAGGGGGGTGCTGGGCCGTGCAGGGGGTGCAGGGGGGGGGGTGCTGGGCCGTGCAGGGGGTGCAGGAGGGGGTGCTGGGCCGTGCACGGGCAGGGGGTGCAGGAGGGGGGTGCTGGGCCGTGCAGGGGGTGCAGGAGGGGGGTGCTGGGCCGTGCAGGGGGTGCAGGAGGGGGGTGCTGGGCCGTGCATGGGCAGGGGGTGCAGGGGGGGGGTGCTGGGCCGTGCAGGGGGTGCAGGGGGGGGGTGCTGGGCCGTGCAGGGGGTGCAGGAGGGGGTGCTGGGCCGTGCACGGGCAGGGGGTGCAGGAGGGGGTGCTGGGCCGTGCAGGGGGTGCAGGGGGGGGGTGCTGGGCCGTGCACGGGCAGGGGGTGCAGAAGGGGGGTGCTGGGCCGTGCAGGGGGTGCAGGGGGGGGGTGCTGGGCCGTGCAGGGGGTGCAGGAGGGGGTGCTGGGCCGTGCACGGGCAGGGGGTGCAGGAGGGGGGTGCTGGGCCGTGCAGGGGGTGCAGGAGGGGGGTGCTGGGCCGTGCAGGGGGTGCAGGAGGGGGGTGCTGGGCCGTGCATGGGCAGGGGGTGCAGAAGAGGGTGCTGGGCCGTGCAGGGGGTGCAGGGGGGGGGTGCTGGGCCGTGCAGGGGGTGCAGGAGGGGGTGCTGGGCCGTGCACGGGCAGGGGGTGCAGGAGGGGGTGCTGGGCCGTGCAGGGGGTGCAGGAGGGGGGTGCTGGGCCGTGCAGGAGGGGGGTGCTGGGCCGTGCATGAGCAGGGGGCGCAGGAGGGGGGTGTAAGGTCATGTGTGGTTGAGGGGTGCAGGATGGGGTGCTGGGCTGTGCATGGTGTTCAGGAGCGGGCGCTGGGCAGGGCTGCGGGAGGTGCTGAGGTGTGTGAGGGAGATGCGAGGACGTCCCTGGGCAGGGGCTGCACACAGGAGAGACGTGAGAGAGCATTAGGGTGCTGGGCCACGCAGGGTGGGTGCTGAGGAAAGCTGGGGTGCAGAAATAGGGGTGGGTGGGACAGGTAAAGGAGTCATTGCGGGTGGGGGGTTACTTGGCCCGAGAAGGCGGCAGCCCTGGCGCGAGGCGGAGCGTGGGCCGCTGCCCGACGGCCTCTGCGCCCCCTCGCCCCAGGCCAACGACGCCTGCAAGTGCAACGGCTGGAAGAACCCCAACCCCCCCACCGCCCCCCGCATGGACCTGCAGCAGCCGGTGACCAACCTGAGCGAGCCCTGCCGGAGCTGCGGCCACGCGCTGGGTAACCCCCCGCGGGGTGCCGGGGACCCCCCCGGGGAGGGGGAGCCGTGCTGACCCCCCCGGTCTCACCGTGGCTTTCCCTCCGCCGCAGCGGACCACGTGTCCCACCTGGAGAACGTCTCGGAGGAGGAGATCAACCGGCTGCTGGGCATGGTGGTGGACGTGGAGAACCTCTTCATGTCGGTGCACAAGGAGGAGGACACGGACACCAAGCAGGTGTATTTCTACCTGTTCAAGGTGCGTCTGGGGCTGGGCACGTCTCACTGCCCCCTGCACGGTGG